AACTTACCTTTTTGCCTCTTGCCTCGTGGTCTCCTTCTGTGTTGTGACAGAAGACCAGACCAACTACACTAGCTGCCATGGATCCGCGTCCTCAATCTCCGCTCACTCTCGAGAACTTCGTTCAAGCACTCAACTCAGCTTTAACCCTGCTCACCACCTCAACATCTACCTCCGCCAGTCCCATTGCCTGCTCTCTTCTCCGGTGAGGCGGTGGATTATAGTAGCTTTTTGTTGCAGTGCTCCCTCTACTTCAAGATGCAGCCGCAAGCCTTTCCCACCGATCGCTCAAAGGTAGTTCATGATCACGCTCCTGTCCGGACGAGCGCTGCAATGGGTGAAATCTCTCTGGAATGCAGATAGCCCAGTAATTCACTCCCTAGAAGCCTTTACTGCCCACTTTAAGTCTTTGGCCAAATCGCCTCAAATCTATCTGTCCATGACCAGCTCTTTCGCTTACGCCAGGGAAGGAGCACAGTCTGGGAGTATGCCGTTCAGTTCTGCACTCTTGCGGCCTCTAGTGGTTGGAACGAAACAGCACTACTTACTGCCTTCCGACATGGATTGAATCCCAGCGTTCACCTCCAGATGGCGATCTATGACGACACAGTGGGTCTCGAAAGCTTTGTTCAGAAGGCCATCCGTATTTCCCAGCATGTCACTGCCTGCACGGAGGATCAGCCACTCTCTCCACCACCTTCATCTGCACATCCGGCTCCAGCACCAGAACCCATGCAGTTTGACAAATACCACCCCAGGCGAGCGGAGCATGACAACTCAACAACTGCCCGATCCGTCCACCCCGCCCAGCGGTGAGTACTATCCAACCAGCTGCGTCTAGCTTCTTCTTCGTGGGCAAGAAGGATGGAGGCTTGAGGCCCTGTATCGATTTCCAGACCCTAAACTTTCAAACAGTGAAGTACCCCTATCATTTGCCTCTGGTTCCGGCTGCCCTTTAGGAACTCCGTGGAGCTTGTATCTTCTCCAAACTCAACCTGCAAAGCACTTACAACCTCATTCGGATATGCCCTGGAGATGAATGAAAAACAGCCTTCATCACCCCAACTGGCCACTATAAGTACTTGGTTATTCCGTATGGGCTGGTCAACTCACCTTCCATCTTCCAGGGTTTCATGAATGAAGTGTTCCAGGAGTTCCTCCATCAGTTCGTTATTGTCTACATAGACGACTTCCTCATCTACTCCCGGAACCTGGCCAAATATCGCCACCACGTAGAGCAGGTCTTTTGGAAGCTGAGGCAATACCACCTTTACCTCAAGTTGGGGAAGTGCGAGTCCAGTTGAGTCCCGTTACCACCATCCAGTTGCTCGGGTATGTCATCACCCCTCAAGGCATCCAAATGGACGATAAGAAGGTTCAAGCTATCAAGCAATGGCCCTTACCCTCCTCTGTGAACGAACTGCAACACTTCCTCAGATTTGCCAAATTTTATCGCCGGTTCATCCAATCTTTTAGCACCCTGATAGCTACACTCAACTCCTTACTTCAAAATAAGCCCAAGTCTCTGTCCTGGACACCAGCAGCCCTAGCCAGCTTTGACCAGCTGAAGGAAGCCTTCTGCACCGCTCTCACCCTGACCTCTAGAAACCTTTCCTCGTTGAGGTGGATGCCTCCACCATGGGAGTGGGAGCAGTGCTGTCCCAATACTCCGGAGAGTATCCCAAGCTGCATCCCTGTGTGTATTTCTCCCGTTAGCTGTCCTTGCCGAAGCAACATTATGATATCGGGAATAGTGAGTTGTTGGCCATCAAACTTGCCCTAGAACAGGATTCCTCAAATCTTGCCCTGGAGGGCCAATGCGTTGCAGAGTTTAGCTCCAACCCTGATCAAACTCACCTACCTGTGATTTTCTAATGATCCTGAAGACATTGATTAGCATGCACAGGTGTGTTTGATTAGGGTTAGAGCTAAACTCTGCAGGAAAGTGGATCTCGTGGGCCAGATTTGAGGATCCCTGCCCTAGAAGAATGGAGACACTGGCTGGAGGGAGCCTTTCATCCATTTCAAGTCATCACCGATCATCGCAACTTGGAATACCCCAAGAATGCCAAACGGTTGAACCCAAGACAAGCCCGGTGGGCCTTATTCTTCACACGCTTCAACTTCATTGTCACCTACCGGCCCGGACACACAACACCCGAGCTGACGCCTTGTCTCGGATTCACCAACTCCCACAGGAATCCTCCTCTCCAGAAACCATTCTCGCTCCAGTCTTAATAGTGAATTCCATTCTCAGGTCCGTCGACGAGGACATCCAGCAAGCCACACTCACTGAACCAGCTCCGCCAGGAGGTGAAATCCTACATACCGTCCTCTCTCTGCCTTACCCTTCTGGACTCGCTCCATTCGTCTCTGGGCTCTGGACATCCAGGCAGCCAGCAAACCCTCTCGCTCCTCCAGAACAAGTACTGGTTGCCTAACATGGCGCGTGAAGTCTCCCAGTTTGTCGGAAGTTGCTCAATCTGTGCCATTTCAAAACCCCCCAGTCATCTACCACATGGTCAGTTAATACCACTACCCATTCCTCATCGACCCTGGTCCCACCTCAGGGTTGACTTCGTCACCTACCTGCCAGAGTCCAACTCCAATACCTGCATCCTGGAGGCAGTTGATCGGTTCTCCAAGGCTTGTAGGCTCATTCCTCTACCCAGATTACCTACCGCCATGGAAACTGATGAATTACTGTTTCATTATGTGTTCAGGAACTTTGGCGTCCCCGAGGACATCATCTCCGACCGTGGACCGCAATTCATCTCTTGAGTCTGGCAAGCCTTCTTCCGGCTCCTAGGAGTTTCCGTCAGTTTAACCTCTGGATACCACCCTCAATCAAATAGTCAGACTGAGCGGAAAATCCAGGACATTGGGAGATACCTGTGCAGTTACTGCCATCAGAATCAGCAGGACTGTTGCCGATTTCTACCCTTGGCTGAGTACGCACAGAATTCCTGCCGTCAGCACTCCACAGGCCTCACCCTCTTCCAGCTCGTACTTGGCTACCAACCTCCCCTATTTCCATGGTCCGGAGAGCCATCAGAAGTACCAGCGGTAGACTTCAGGTTCAGAGAGAGCGAGAGGTTTTGGGACTCAGCACACGTCCATCTCCAACAGGCAGTCCGGAGGTTTAAGACCCAAGCAGATGCCCGTCGCCTACCAGCTCCACCTTACCAGACAAGATCTGGCTGTCCACACGGGACATCCGCCTCCGGCTGCCCAATCGTAAGCTGAGTCCCCGCTTCAACGGTCCATTCACCATCAGGAGGCAGATAAATGACGTCTCGTACCAACTCGTACCAATTCCATGTTTCCTTGTTAAAGCCTTACATTAATCCTGTCACTCCTTCTTCCCCAGGACCTGACGAGCCTGACTTACCTCCTCCTCCCGAGATCGCCTTCTATTGGGTCAAAACCATGTTGGACTCCCAGCGTCGAGGGGGCCGCCTCGAATATCTGGTCGACTGGGGGGGTTACGGCCCGGAGGAACGGTCCTAGGTACCCAGAGACGACATACTCGACCCATCCTTGCTCACAGACCTCCACCATCTCCACCCTGACAGACCTGCACCCGGGAGCCACGGCTGCCCTCGACGTCGGCAGCATGCGTCGGGAGCCGCCTGTGGAGGAGGGGGTACTGTCACGGAGACACCAGCCTCGTCAGGTTCCACCAATCAGCCTGCATGTTTACAATCACCTGAATTCTAATTCCCTGCATTTGCTGCACCTCATCAAGACCCATATAAAGCCACCATCACTTTCACTAACCTTTGTCTGGTCTCATAGTCACTTACAGACTATTCACTGGACTCTACCCACCTCAGATACTTACCTGCCTCTTCCGATCCAAACCTTCATCCGTAGACGATCATAGCAGCCACGTATAAGAAAGAAAAGGACTTTGGTTAGCCTTGCAAGCTAAGTTGCTCCAATTCTATCTCTGCATACTTGCACCTGTTGTTTACGACTTCACAGTCGCCGTTCCTGCCTGTTGAATAAATCCTTGGAACTTACCTGTTTGCCTCTTCGTGGTTTCCTTCTGTGTTGTGACACACGCAATATCAGGTCTATCAAAACCTCTTGCAACCCTTCATTTTAACAGTAATACCAAATTTACATTTATTCCAAAAAAAAAAGAAAAGAAAATAAATACTATCAAAGAAAAAAAAAATACATCTGAATAACACATACTGTATAGAGAAGGTAATCTTTCAATTTCATTACATATTCAAAAGGGGACAGCTGTTGTGCTTACTGTGTGAAGAGTTTTGAAAAAGTGATCGAAGTATTCAGAAATGGATAGCACTTGTAAAACATGGTAAGAATAATTTTGTACTGTAATGTAAACATGGACCATGTAACAAAAATTGCCGTTTCAGCTGAGAGTTTACCCAGGTGTCCTGTTTTTAGTCTGGTTTAATCTTTTGTCTTGTCTTAGCTTCTTCTGCAGAGATTTTCTATACAGTTTATTTCAATATAATTATGCAGAAATGCACAAAATTGGCCATCATTTTATGAATGAATTACAAAAGAGTTAATAGATTTTGGAAAATATCATTGAAGTCACCTTTATTTATATAGCACTTTATACAATACAGATAGTGTCAAAACATCTTTGTGTTAGGAAACAGGAAAAATAGTGTGTCAATAATGCAAACAAATTTAAATTCTGCTGTAAAGCATCTCTAAAAAGAGGTCAATAGTAAACATTAATCCTTCTTTACATTCAGTATGCAACTAGGCTATATAAAGAAAGTTTTGCAAAACACTAAACAGTTCTGTGTTTATAATGATTTTTGTTGTTGTGTTTTTCTTCAACAAACAATCATTATCTTTTTAGAATGTAAGTTTAACAAATAAAAAAAATAAATACAGTTATTTAAGGGACCTTCAAACAATGTTGCAGTAAAAACATATTCTCCAAACATGATAAAACTATGAGACATCCAAAGTTTTTGGAATGTGTCCTGGTATGAGGGATAAAATCCTACCTTACAAAGGAAAACAATAACTCCCAATCTCAAAGTCTTCATTGTTTTAATTTGAAGCAAAATGTTTTGAAAGGTCCTTCAGATAGTACTTCCTTATTTCTGAGAATGTCAAGTTCTTTAAATGTGGTTGTTGTAGAGTGGGGGATGGGAGGCGGAGTTTGCGGCCAAGTAGATTTGTTTCTTGCTTTGCGTGTGAGTGGTGTCAGGATAAAAAAGATAAAAATGAACTCAAAACTGAAAATGCCTGTATTTGTCAGTGAATGCACAGTACAGTATATCAGTATTTATGTCCACTTTAGTACAGTATTTTATGACTTGACTGGAACCAAGGAGGTCTATAATATCTTAAAAGGGGTCATTGATTATGATTTCATCGTTTTAACTTTAGTTAGTGTGTAATGTGGCTGTTTGATGATAAACAACATCTGCAAAGTTATGCTCAAAGTTCAATGCAAAGGGAGAAATTGTCTTTTACAGAATTCGCTTTGTCAGGCCTACAACAAACGGCTGGTTGGGACTACAACAAGCTATTTCCTGGGTTAGTGACATCACAAACCCTGAAATTTACATAAATCCTGCCTCCAGGAGCATGCAACAAAGGGAGTGGGGTCACATTGGGCTGCTTTAGAGAAGAGGAAGAGTTGTTGTATAGTAGTGTGTTGATGCAATGCAATTGAAACGCTGTTATTTTCACCCAATAGCAGGGCCTCTTTTTTCAGCCTTCCTTGGGATGCTAAAATTTATTTTTAACTCGGTTCCTGAAAATTATAATCCAAATACAGATATCTGTGCTGCACATTTTGCAGAGGACAGCTTCCTCAATCTACATGAGTTCAATGCCGGATTCACCCAAAAGCTTGTCCTCAAAGAAGAACATATTAGATAGTTGGCTACACTCGTTCTACAAAGACAAAACTAATGGTGCTACAGTAAATTGAAAGAACTTAACTGCTTACTAATACTCAAACACTACCTTTTCACCCCCGAGTAACTACTAGTGACCTGAACCATTATTTTAAAGTGAAAAACATGTTGACCCTTCAGTAATTACTCAAGTGTCACATTGTCAGCCTGTAGGAACTACTAGTGATCTGCATCATTTTAAAATGAAAAACACGTTAACAAGTTAAACAACTTAACCCGTCACTAATACTAAGGTGGGCTGACAAGGTAACACTTAGTAGTTAATGAGGGGTTAATGTGTTTTTCACTTTAAAATAATGGTCCAGATCACTAGTGGTTCCTGTGGGCTGACAAGGTAATGCTTGAGTAATAAATGAGGGGTTGACATTGATTTCACAAGTAATTTAAGTTATTTAAAGGGGTCATATGACGTTGCTAAAAAGAACATTATTTTGTGTATTTGGTGTAATGCAATGTGTTTATGCGGTTTAAGGTTAAAAAAACACATTCTTTTCCATATAATGTACATTATTGTTTCTCCTCTATGCCCCGCCTTTCTGAAACGCGTTGATTTTTACAAAGCTCATCGTTCTAAAAAAGCGAGGTGTGCTCTGATTGGCCAGCTATCCAGTGCACTGTAATTGGTTGAATACCTCAAGCGTGTGACGGAAATGTTACATACATGTGGGGGTGTGTTAGAACGAGCCGTTTTAGGTAGGAGTGGTTGACTCTTTGGATTTGAGACTTTAGTCTTTGCAACTTTACAGATCTTCTTCATTCACCAAGAGCTTGTAACACTCCAAAGAGAAAGGAAAAATTGAAATTGCATCATATGACCCCTTTAATATATTTTATATCTGACACATACTGTACAGCCATACATTTCTGTGAGGCCCTAGTGATATTCTAACAGACATTGTAATCTGGAAGATGTTGTTTTGTGCTTAACACAATACAGTCAGTGTCTTCATTAAGGATGAAAATTGTTTTAGACAAGAGAACATCATTGTTTATATCCATATCCTAAAGAGAAGTCTTTCCCAGGATACCGTCACTAAAGGGTGTTTTGGTGTCAGAGACATATTGAACTGACACTGAATACAGCTCATAATAGTGAACTAATCCAATCATGGGCTTGTCAGCATCACTTCATAATTATTTACAATTTTAAATGAATTATTATTATTATTCTGTGTGTAAGTTTGAAATAAACTACTCTTTGGTAAGAGTATAGTAGT